TGGGCGGGCATGACGGGAGGTGTAGTCCCGCTCCGGGCCCGCCGCGGGATCGCCTCAGCCGTTTGGCGGGAAACGGCAGGAGTGCCTCATGAAGCTGCCTGAAATACTGTGAAAAACACCAAATTCGCACTAAGGGGCTGTTTCTCCCCACTTCCAAGCCAAAACGTCAGGCTAACACTTTTTTTTTGGCCTTGCTTTTTGTTATAAACCGACTTCCCCAAATGATGTGAGTCAGAGCTTCCAATTTCTTTATTCAGCAAGCGGCAACAAGAAGAACAGTGCTGGGCGGCCGGGGAGTCTCCACTCCACCAACGGCTTGCGCCTCTCAAGGCACTTTGTCTTAGTTTTATATTACAAAACATTGCATATTCATGATACGCCTATACATATACATTACCTAAACCCCACCTAGTCCCCCTTTTTATGGTAATTAGCTTATCAGTTCTTTACGCTTGCACAGATTCTGCTAAAATTGTGGGCAGGGGTCCTCAGATGATGGGCGGTGGTCTCCGGGAGGAAGGCCGTAGGTTCTCCTCACAGTGTACGTTTCACACTTCGCCTGGAATGCGATGATTCTACAAGCTTGCAGTGCTCTTATCAGTCTAGGCTCATTGCTGGCCTTGAGCAAAGAGATTTATGGACGTAAATATCCTCCTGTTTATTCGACTAAGCGCCTGCAGTTAGCCTCACACAATATAGTCACGGTCCGGTTTTTACACCAAATATTTACAAGGTCCTTGTTTATGCCGTATAAAGTACAGACACTTCTTTTTACTCTTCTGTTGTTGTCCCCCCCTCTTTACACAACATCGTTTTATCATGTTAGTTCAGCTAAGTGCTTGCTGTTAGTTCTATACAATGTGGCAATTTCACTTTTTGCTGAATTTGATGAACAAACAGTTTACTATCCATCACACTTTTCATCTTGCTAAACTTTTTTTTAACTGAGAATAAAGTAGGTCAATGTCAATTTAGCTTCTGGAATGTGCAGACACAACTGAAAGTTGGTGATTTCATGAAAAAGAAAGGGCTTTGAAGATAAGACAGTAATAAATAAGTCAGTTGGAGCCTATTCTTGAAGATAACAGGAACAAGGATATGACAAATTAAACCAAAACCACTCAAGACACAACACAGCGGCACAACACCTCCTAAAACCTTTGTGAAAATGCGTGAGCACTGAGGGCAACAACAGACACGGTGAGGAAGGCTACTAACCACATCGGGGACCCCTCGAGGCCACCACCCTACAAGAAAGCACACGCATAATTAGGATGCAGATATTGCAATTAGTTCCAGGAAATCTAATGCATATGAAACTAATTTCACAGGAAAGTTAAGAATATGCATTATCTCTCTGTGTATTAGCTGCTGCTTATAGATCTGGGGCTTGCTCACCTTTGCCAAGCTATTCACGTGTGCGCCCAGCACTGCGATAAAGAATGTCTGCTTTCTAAAACTCAAAAATGAGTCTTAGAGAGTTCCTCTGATGGCTTCTACAGTAACACCAGTGCTTAATATTTAAGGCAGAGTATCTTCCGAAGCCTGGAAGAAGTACAGGGGAGCTTGGGGAGGCTAAGGCTCATGGAGGACAGAGAGGTGATTTGAGACAGCCAGCATGGCTACATCAAGGTCAAGTCTTGCCTGACCAATGTAGTGGTCTTCTATGATGGAGTGATTACATCAGTAGACAAGGGAAGAGCTACATGTGTCATCTTTCTGTAAGACTTTGACATGATCCCCACAACATCCTTCTCTCTGAATTGGACATAAAGATTTGATGGATGGGCTGCTTGGTGAATGAGGAATTGGTTAGATGGTCACATCCAGAGGGTAGTTGTCAATGGCTCAATGTCCAGATGCAGATCAGTCACAAGTGGTGTTCCTCAGGGGTCTGTATTGGGACCAGTATTGTTTAATATCTTCATCAATGACATAGTGAGATTGAGTACATCCTCAGCAGTTGACACACCTGAAGGACAGGGTGCCATCCAGAGGAACCTGGACAAGCTCAAGAAGTGGGCCTATGTGAACCTCATGAGGTTCAACAAGGCGAAGTGCAAGGTCCTGCACCTGGGTCAGGGCTACCCCTAGTATCAATACAGCCTGGGGGATGAAGGGATTGAGAGCAACCCTTCAGAAAAGGATTTGGGGATACTGGTGGATGAAAAGCTGGACAAGAGCTGGCAGCATGCCCTCACAGCCCAGAAGGCAAAAGGTATTCTGGGCTGCATCAAAAGAAGCATGGCCAGCAGGTTGAAGGAGATGATTCTGCCTCTTTACTCTGGTGAGACCCCACCTGGAGTCCTGCATCCAGCTCTGGAGTCCTCAATCAGGAGAGACATGGACCTGTTGGAGCAGGTCCAGAAGAGGGCCATAAAAATGATCAGAGGAACACATTTCCTATGAGGAAAGGCTGAGAGAGTTGAGATTTTTCAGCCTAGAGAAGAGAAGGCTCCAGGGAGACCTTATTGTGGCCTTTCAATACTTAAAAGGGAATTATATGAAAGGTGAGGGCAGACTTTTTAGTAGGGCCTATTGTGATAGGACAAGGGGTAATAGTTTTAAACTAAAAGAGGGTAGATTCAGACTAGATACAAGGAAGACATTTTTTACAAGAGGGTGATTAAATGCTGGAACAGGTTGCCCAGAGAGGTGGTAGATGCCCCATCCCTGGAAACATTCAAGGTCAGGTTGGATGGGGCTCTGAGCAACCTGATCTAGTTGAAGATGTCACTGCTCATTGCAGGGGGGGTTAGATTAGATAAACTATAAAGATCCTTTCCAACCCAAAGTATTCTATTATTCTCTGAAGACTAAGGCAAAGAAGGCATTGAGCACCTCAACCTTTTCTCTGCTTTGCAGTGTGAGGTTCTGGTTTTGTCGGATCTCAATAAAAAGTCATAAGATGCTTAAGAGAAAAAGATGGCTTTAGAAGTTACAGTGAGTTTTACATGTCTCTTCGAATGCTGGGAAACATGCAATGATACAGTGTTGGACAGTCCTCTCTGGCAGAGCCACTGCTGTGCAGAATTCTCTCTGTGGTGACGTTCAATGGCCTATTGTTCATCACATCTTTACAGTATTCTTCCACGTAAAACAAAGCCATCAATCTCTTACTTGTACAATACTGAACATTCTAGAGGATACACTGAGGTCTGCTGAAAGTGTTATGCTTTTACACGTTGCCGTGGGAACAAGCTCTTACGAAGAGTACAGTCAGGCTGCATTGTTTATGGCAGCACATATAATGTCATGTTATATGCTCAGGTTTTGCTTTCATTCATGCTAATATATGCATCTCTACCATCAAAATCTACCTAAGCTCTGCCTAAGTTCTGCTTGAAATCTGTGATGGTCCACTACAGTATTCTCCTTATGAGGTTCCAGCCCCATTCAGGAGTGGGCCCACATTTTCTCTTATTGAACCACTTCTTGTTGCCCTTCACATCCCTCACCAGCTTCAACTCCACATAGATTTGGCTTTCCTAACCCCCATCCTTGCACACTTGGACAGCGGCTCTATTCCTTTTGAGTCATCTGTCCTTGCTTTCACCTCTTGTATGCTTCCTATTCAGGCTTGAGTTCAGTCAGGACTTCCTTGGTCATCCATGCAGGCGCTAATGCCACCTTTGTAGGTTTTCCTTATTTTGCTGGTTAAGGATACCAATAAAACTCATACACCAGAGTGAAAAGAGTAGGTATATTTTACTGAATATAACTAAATAATGTAACAGAGTAATACAAAAAACAGTAAGAGAAGACAGAATAGTGCACTTAAATAGGAAAATACAGGGTAATGCTTCAAATCATTACTACCTGAGAGAGAGAGAGTATGGTGATTAAGAAAGTTACATCACCACTTGCATACACTACCATCATCCAGATCTGCAGATGCTGGGGAGCCCCGGTTACAGTGAGTATTTGGAGAGCCTTTCCTGGCAATTAGGAAATTGCGGTGTGTCCACCCATAGGTGAGGCTTCCAAAGTTACTGCAAGCGGGTCCAGCCTTGTATACCCAAAAATCAGCAAGCCAGAATAACTGGCACCTGTGTTTTAAGTGGAAATATCTGGTTTTACTCTCACATTAGATTCTCACAGAGCCTGGTCAGGGCCCAAGGAAGAAGCTAAGGGAGTTTCCCTGCTTATCTAATTGATTTATGATCAAGGCCACACATCAGGTCACAAGGCCAGACAACTGTCTCTGTGGCCCTGTTATCTTGCCCACACATGCAAAGAAAGATAAAGATATTCAGGATAGACATGTTTTATGATGTTTAAGCTATATCTTTGGTGCATATTTCACTAATGATAACATACTAGGTTAGCAGTTTCAGTTCAGAGCCTGTTGTTCAGGCTTCAACACTTCCACCTTTTACATCAAAATAGGTGGTTTGTTATAACTTAGTACTATACCTACTAGCACAGTGGTTATCAGTTATAAAATATACAGGATTCATCTAAAGGTCAGCTCTGGCTTGAGCTTATTGTCCAAGCCTTAGCACTTCATTCTTGCACACCAGGATGGACTATTCTTGAGCTTGTAAGAAGTGATTCCTTGGGGAAATAAAAAACCACAACCAGGTCTCCTGGACCTATCTTCTCTTCAGATTTCTATAAAATGGATTCATCCAAGTAGATCTCTGAACAGGCTAAAGTCCATCCTCTTGGAGTCCAGGACCATGATCCTAGGTTTTGCCTTCTTCCCTCCTTTCATGATCCGGAACTCCATTTCAAGGCAGCCCCAACCTTCACATCCCCGACTAGGACACCAACTTGCTTGTAAGGATCACTGCCAGCAGAGCACCTCCCCTCATCAGC